TATTCTCTAGGTTTTAGAATAGTTTGGCAATTCCAAGGTGTTGGTGATGTGGGTTGCTTTATAAATGAATTTAAGCTTAGGGTTAAAGATTGTTATACACAAACATGGTATTCTGAAGTGCCAACTGTTCCAAACTAATTTTTTATGCAGAGTTCAAAGTGTCCCTCTTTCCCGAGCTATACCTAAGCAGTTTACGTAAAGAATACGCACGCACGCTTACCTTGTTCAGATTTGGCGAACTCGATATAATGCAAAATACAGGAAGGAGTCAGGGTATGGACAAAAACATCCGTTTTTTTCCCACTATGCAGTTTAAATGCTATTAAAAATGAAATTCATTTTATTTTTATTTGTCCTGTTTATCATTGTATACGTCTTAAATATTTTCCTTCTTTATACGTGGACACTATCAGTCACAGAGAGACTCTTATAAGAATGCTACAGTCCCCTGATGTCTTATTGTTAAAAACCTGGCAAATTTTGTGAAAGACGCTGTCAGTCTACGATCGTCATATCTTTAAAATTTAGGAAATGTAGCACCAATTGTATAATATTTGCATATAATATGTACGTGGGCATGAGGCCTTATTACTGAAATAAATAAAAACGTGCACCCCTGTAAATAAGGAAACTACCTATTATAAATGTTTGAAATTGGCAAGGGGTGCTGTGCTGTATGAACATATCAACCTGTGACATTATTTCAAGTCAAACCGGGGTATCTGAAAATGTCATGACAACCGTAAAACTCCCTGAAAGCTCTACTGGACAAAATAAGTTAGGGATATTGGTATTTTTATGATTGATATTTTATTTGTGTCAATGAATAAATAGATCATTATTCATACTTTCAAAATTTACATATATCCCTATATATTTTTGTACAGTATAAAATGAGGATAGCTTTTGACGGACTTCAAGAGTTTCAAAATACATTTGACGTTGATAAGGAATATCAATAGTATTAATCCTGCAGGACAGTAATACAACTAGACTATCACAATTACAATTAAAATTTATATTTTCGACAAACGTGGATACAATTAGTTTTTTACTTTGAACATTTTATTCCTTTTTCAGAACACTATTTATCAATTCTTTTTAAACATAATTGTAGTTGCCTTTCAAAAGTATTCATGTTTTTGCCACGGCAGGAAATATGAAAATCATCCACAAATAACGACCCATCAATTGAATCGTTTAAAACTTTTAATAAATTATTTGTAATGCTAATGAATGTGACAGACAAAATACAACCTTGTGGTACACCCCGATCCTGATTGTAAAGATGACTGGGTAGACCCCACGCAGACTTGAAACTGAAACGTTTAACAGGTTGCCCAATTTGGTCGCCTTTTACGACCAGCAAAGGGGTTTTGTGGATACATTCTACCCTAGGTCCACACGGGGAAAGGCTATTAGCGCTACACAGCACTCGCCACGAGGAGGTTGTTCATCCCGATTATCCGATTGCCACAAATATCATAAGGGCTTGTGCATCGTGTGCATGTGTGTGTACATGTGTGTGTACATGTGCATGTATTCACCCCCATCAAATGACTTTGCCTGAAATAATACTCTATGATTGCAGGCTTTGGTGGTCCTCGACTGTGAAACTGTCAAATATATTGTTTATGAGTACAGCAGCTGTATAACATGATTCCGATTGCTCAACAAGATGAAACACACCACTCATTACATGTAACTGATACATTGAAGGCTGGGACAGCAGACATCTCACACACGAGCAAATAGCCATGTTGGCACGTTTTGCGTACAGTACACCCTGATCTCACATCTCAGAGACGATATCTAGTTGCGACATGTTAGCAGACAATCGATCGCGATCTCTGACAATTCATTTGTATTTGTTTTGTGGGCCGTGACGGTGACCGGAATACCGACAAAAGATTCAGTACTCAGTTGGTGGCATGTTGTCTTTTCCCACACCCAACCAGCAGAGCGACGGAACGTAATCGCTTAATGTTCTTAACATCACCAGGAACGCCTTGTATATATTTAGATACGACAAAAGGGTTAAACTTAAATAGTGTTTTGTTATTAGTTTCAGTTACAAGAAAACGTGGCCGGTATTCAAGTGATGTGTGCAGTCTGTGGTCAGTAACAACAGGATCGGTGTCGAGTGGACGTTTGGTTTTTTAAGGGGGGTTTCGTCAGCCGTATGTAGTTATTTTGATTTCATCATCCGAACCCCCCACCCACTACGGATTATGATAAAGACAATGTATAAAGAAGTTGATTTCCTCCTTGCAGCACCAGGGATACACGGATGATATTGTCCAGGAGAAAAACTAAGATAACTTATTCAACCAGATTGGCCCAAGAGCAACCGCCTTTTGGGCATGCAATCCAAGGCAAAAACATACATTAAATTATGTATTTAAAATACTGAGATCAAATATTTCCGTCAAGACTTAAAAAATCATGTTATCAATTTAACAACTTTGTTTAACATTACACAAGTGTCGCGATATGGTTCAGATTCTGCAATATATTGGGTCATCCAGAGTTAGCTCCCTTTGAATTATCTGCCCTTGATTTCCATAGAAACAAAATGTGCTCTAAAAGTGCCAACTATACTTTAGTTTCTTTTCTGTTTCATGTAACATTTTACAAGTGAAAGTGTCTTTATAAGTGGCTCGAAAAGTGCCAAATATTCTACCAAATGCTTCAAGTTTTGGGGTTTGAAGGGTTTCATATGTGACGTTTTGAAGAAATTTAGTGGCCTCAAATGGACCAATTTTTTAAGAATTCTTTTATTTTGAATAGTCATGACCTGATGAAGGAGCAAGTATACACTCCGAAACGTTGTGTTATTCACAACAAGAAGTTGACATCCATTATTCTTGCTTTTCTTATGCATTCCACTTCTAAATGCCATTCAAACATTTGACCAATCTTTTATTTCACAATTCACATTATTTTGTTATTTTTGTTTGGTTTTGTAATGGGACAATTTATGATTAAGGCCAAAGTCTTATAAATTTTGTAGGGCTGTATAATGACATTCTAGTCAAGGATCTTAGTTATTGGAGGTAACATAAGATTTTAAGCTCAAGTAGTTCACCTAAATCATGTTTTTGTTTCATTTTACAACAGTTCATGTTAACACAATGTCATGTTTATATTGTAGTTGAATCTGAATGAATCACTGACAAGCAGTAACAATAATTCCATACTGCATTGAAGTGCATTCTGTTGAAGCAAACAACACTGACCATGAAAATCACGTTATACTCTTACCTTAATCATTATTTTCGCACAACTGTGTTGCAATACAGTTACTTCAATGAAACATTCCACATTAAGGCTCTATATCATTTATCTGTACATCATTAGCATACACCCATACACAATAGGGACAGGGAGCCTGAAAGTATGGTGTAACAGTAACTAAGAAGTTGATGTCGCACACAGAGAGCTATTATGAATTATTTTGATGTACGCACTTGGGGTGAGGTGAGGTGAAATTGGGTTTTACGTCGTGCTTGAGAATGCTTCGCTCATATGACGACGTGCATGCGTGTGTATGTGTATGTGCGGCTGCTTGTACTAGCCCAGACTGAAGCTGGTTTTATAGTGCTAGCCCACTGAGATACCATGCCGCAGTGAAACATGAATACCCCACTCAGACAGATTATACTGACTCCGAGCCAACCAGTCCTTGTTGTACCCATTAATCCCGAGCGCCAGGCAGAGACCAACAAGTACCATATTTTAACGTCTTTTTGGTATGACGCGGTCGGGGATTGAACCCGCGACCTTCCGCTCTCGAGCGGACGCTCTAACCACTGCACCACGGAAGCGGTCTGTACGCACTTGGACAGAAACCTTCCAGTCAATATATTTGTTTTTATTATTGGATATTTATATAGCGCACATATCCATGCACTAGTGCATGCTAAAGGCGCTGGTATTTTTTCCCTCGGATTACAATCTCAACGACACATCTTATTATCAATCTAAACTCCCTGGGGATCATACAACTATTGCTGCCACAAGGCACGCCGAGTTATTGCGGCTTTGCCGTCCTTACGAGGTACCCATTCACAGCTTGGTGGACTGGGACACACAGTCACAGTACTTTGTCCAAGTTTACTGCACGTTGCTGTACCTGCAACTAGGTGTTTGCACGTATTCGTGAGGCCACAATGTGGTCATATACCAACGTCATATATCACAATATGTATTACAGTATCTCTTGAATTATTGCAATATATCGCAATATGAGAATCAGGGCAATATCCAGCCCTATCTTAGGCACATAAACGCGTCCTCACTGTTTGGGCTGAAATCCTGGTATGGCTGTAGCTGTAGCCGTGGTGAGTGTATCACGTAACTGCGCTGCAGTTGTGACACGTGGTCGACCGCATCTGTGTAGGCCTCGTGTTGCCCCTTGCGTCTGATATCGGTTCCATAGTTTTGCAATGCTGTCTAGCTACACGTGGAAAAACCTGGTTAAAGGCGAACGTCTTTCTGCAGCCAGGCGTGGCGTTGTTGCCTTGAGCTTCTCTCAGTTGTGGTAGTTTTTCATATGCTATACATGTAGATGGATGCACATGCTGTTGGTCACTGGATTGTCTAGTCCCTACTCGATTATTTACAGACTGCTATCATATAGCTGGAATATTGCTGAGTGCGGCGTTAAACAACAAACAATCACACAGAAGGTTGGGTGCATTTGTAGTGTTAATATTCCCTCTCACAAATTGCTTTCGATCAGTTGTTGGAAAAAGATATGTCAAACTGTCACAGATCGGGGTGTTTTTTTCGTTTTTTCGTAAAATTTCAGGATACTAAGCTGAAATTTCAAGATATCGCAATAAGATCATGAAGGAAGGAGGAAAAAACGCATGGTCCTAAAAGGCTTTCGTGGGGTCCTGTTTCATTGTCCCACAGCTGTACACGAGGACAATCTGAATGCAGATTAAGATATACCATCACATGAGTAGTTATGTCAGGTTCTTTGCAGACTGAAGTGTTTGAACGCAGAGCCATGTGACTGCATAAGTTTGTTCTGTATTTAACTTCCTTGATGAATTTATATAACACGGCGCGTCTCTGCGTGTGAGTGCACACCCGTCCAGAATGGCTGCCGCTGTGTCGTTGTTGATCTTCGTCCTTGCTTTGTGGGTCCAGCCTTCGATTCAATGGAGGGGGTAAGAAATATTTCATAACTGCTGCTTTGATTTAGGTTTTCTGAGGAAGTTTAGTTATTTTAAACTTAACGAATATTTTTATACTTATAGTTTCTTAGATAATGTATATACAACAATATGTGACTGACATCTATAAAGTTTTATTTGGATATCTTCCTCATACTAAGGATAGATCAGTTGATGATTAGGCATGCACGTCCTCATTTTAATATGCAATGTAGTGATATATCCAGCCAGAGAACGGCTAGGGGGTGCTCTTAGATATCTTGTGATATCAAAATGATATCAAACTAAGTTTTCGAAGAAAATGTTTTTAAACTTTTGAATTGTAGTATATATGTTGTTTTAATTTTATGGCTAGATTGTCAAAAATTGCTTACAGCTGAAGGGATGGTGTAAATGCAAAAGTAATGTAAGTCCCCATGGTCACTAGTATGGTAGTATTGGCGATCTATAGCCCGTGTTTTATATTTTATTGTATTCTTTAAATAAAATGTTTTAGTTTTACATGCTAGTTTTATATTCATATCTGAATATATTAAATGTCTATCATTGACAGGTTTTACTCTTCAAATTGTTTTCATCTTTATTGTATAAATCGTTTTCGTCACAATGTGGCTGAGATATTGCCGATGTGACGTTAAATCTTAGCTCACTCACTCCCACTTTTACTGGTTTGTCGCACATTGTCGTGGTCTGGACCAGACAATCCAATGATTAACATCATGAGCGTCGATGTACGCCATTACGATGGCATGTGTCAACCACGTCAGTGAGCCTGACCACCCACTCCCTGAAGCTGTGAGTTGAAGACCAATTCTGACCCGGATCTTTACGGGTTAGGGGTATTAGAGAGAATAAAGTGAGAGACATCGAGAACAGCGAGCGTTATATACATGATCCAAACATGGGAAGCTGGTACAAACATTTTAAAGAACAATTTTATGCGTCTGATATTGTAAAATCTCCTAGTTCAACATATGATATCATATTAGGTATCAATGAGTTGAAAACAGTAATGTCGCCAGGCACTGACAAATGTTCCAGAATTCCTTAAACATCTTTCTGATATAATTCACATCGGGTAGTTGTTGTTGTTGTTGTTGTTGTTGTTGTTGTTGACAACGCCATGTCAGTGGGTATTATTCTAATCCATAATGTATGTGTTACCATGCCAACAAGACATGCATCACATCACATCACGACTTTCCTGTCCCAACAAGCATGTTTAACTGAATTAAACACTGTCTAACCCGGAAGTCCAATCAATGGGCCATAGTACACTAATTTATCCTCTTGGCACGCTAGATAATCAGGAAGTGATTAAACGGTGAATGAAACGCTCGAAGGATTACCGCGGTTATGCTTTGTAAACACTGGGGGGGTTGCATTAACTGTTTCCGAGTGAGTGACATGTGTCAGAGAGTAAATTAATAGGCAATGGTTTTATTGACTCGTCAGTCACTTTCTGTGTCATGATGGCTAGACCAGTTAAGCGGGCACGTTTGGAGTTAACACGTGTTCAATAAATTCAGCTTATCAATTACTTTGATACTCTTCCTCGGCCTCTCGAAAAAGACTTGCAGTAAAATATTACATTGGCAGGCCAACTGTTTCGGACATTTTGAAAAAGCGTGATGTTTATCGATCCTAATTTGAAGAAAACCATAATTCAGATACAAAACGAGAGAAAATGGCAGCCACGTCGGAAAATGATCGTCACTGTTTAATCCGGCACCCTGTCTAAACCAGTATTTAGTTTCGGTCCCGAGGGGATTGATTGATTGATTCATTGAATAGATGCTCACCAGTTTGACTTTGAATCAATGACATTTGCAAAAGATTTAATACGACTTGATCTGAAAGTGTACCAACAGCGGTTTTATAATTTCAAAATCACAGATATTGATCTTTCACTGTAGACACTTCTTCATACTGTCGACTGAATGGTTTGCCAATTCCGCATGTTGACCAAACTATAAAATCATATAGGTAATCATATTGTTGGTTTGATTTCGGGTTTAGGAGGTGAATTAGTTTTTTAAAATATAAAATCTCTTTCCATTCTTTTTTAAGATAATGTATATGCAGCATTATACTACCTCATGTAAGAATGTCCATCTATGATTGGTTCACGTGGCCTTGAATAAATTACCATGTATGCCATGTACGCCCAAGCGGGGTATAAATCATTTATACCCCGCCCAATGGAAAAGGTATGCATCCACGGCAGTCAGTGAACCAGTTGTTCGGATCGACTAGTGAGTACCATGTTAGTAAAATATCTGATTGGATTTCAGTTTGTTTTAATGTTAGATTTACATAATGCGTGATTTAAACATTCTGTAGGATAAATTCGTTGTAGCATTATGATTCGGGGTATACCAAACCAAACATTTGGCACTCCGAATACCAAACCAAACATTTGGCATTGTCAGTCCTCCCGTTCAACTTTACTGATGGTCCCACATTCGGCATTTCTATTCCTCCAGTTCACCATCCCGGTGGCCCATATTTGGCATTATTCCTCCAGTTCAATATTCCTGGTGGTCCCACATTTGGCATTGCCATTCCTCCTCCGGTTCCTTTGCTCCATGAATGCCGCGAGTACGGACGATCTACAATATTTGAGCAATGGGGGCGATGAGGTGGCCTCGTGGTTAAAGCGTTCGCTCGTCACGCCGAAGACCCGGGTTCGATTACCCGCATGGGTACAATGTATTGACAGTGCAAGGTGCTGCATTTAAAAAACAATCTACGAAACAAATGAACATGTATGAACGAAGACTGTCGTTAAAATATTATTGGTGTTACTGTCCCAGCATTGAATCTTGAAGCTCGATAATGACATACACTAACTCATAACCTTATCTAAACAAATTGCTCATTCAAACTGTTGAAGAGCGATGTATGCAAAAATACCTCCTTGTCTGCAGTGAGACTTTAAATAGACTTGAAGGTACGAACGATATTATTGGTTCATTAAATGTTAATTGTGCAAACTTCAAGTTGGCCACACAAGATATGAAATTTGAATGTTGAGTTTGGTCTTTGTCGTTTGCGTCTATAAATCACCTCTCTTTTCTATTGTCACGCTGAATTGAGTACTGAATTCAATGTCTCGAGGGACAGCATGTTATTAACTGTGAATTCGAAGACCCTCCCCGGTTTGGCTTTGAATCAACCATATTTACTCATGATTTAACTGCAAGTATAACAATAGCGATTAGAATACAATAGGCACACCTATCACAAGGAAAATAAAAACAATGTCAAGTAACCTAGATAAACCTGTTCATACTGTTGCTTTGATTTCAGTGTTCTCGGGTGATTCACTATTAATATCTCCGCGAGGTGTTTGTTAGATAATGTACATGCATGAATGTCTGACTGCCAACTAAAGTCATTGCAATCGTGGAAATATTTCGTAATGAAAGGATAGTTTAGAGGTCACATGCAACCAAAAAATCAAACATAATTAAAACACAATTATCACTTATTCATGACATATAATATACATTGCTGGTTATGAAAAAACATATAAACAAAATTATAAGCGTACAATTGCAAATCAAAAGTGCAATACATGTATTTTGTACTTGGGTTTACTTCCCAAGAAACGAAGCAGCCGGGATACCGAACCTAGTCAGAGCGGGTGGGTGTGCACTCAAGTGTAACGGCTGGTTCATTTGCAGATGCCCTCACGGCTGATTGTGTGTGTATATATAGAGATGTTGGGTTTTGTAAATACATGCTCATTTTTTTTGTATAACATTTTGCAATCAACAGACATCATAACATGTCATGTGTTCAAGTATCACGCCTGCCTGTCCGTGTAATTACATAATGTGACAGAGACCGAACTCGGGCCATAAATCAATGCGTTTTGTTTATGGTGTATAGCCTGATAGGTGTTAAGTTCAAATTGCATGTGGTCAGTGATCGCAGTTGTGTATTGAATATTGTCATTAGCAGACAGGCAGGCAGAGCACAGGTGCCAATAAAACAAGACATTGAGTTTTGTCTGTGACAACGACATATCTATATCACAGTTAGAAATTCTGTCAACGCTAAATAATGACATTGCTTTTAAGTATCGAACTGAGAAAGTGACTCGGTAAGAAGAACGTGTGGTGAAATAGACAAATGAAATTATATAAACAGTTAATTTACTGTCATAACATATAAAAAGCTGGCGCCTGTGAGATATCAACAAAACATTAGGAAAATAGCTCACACCAAAGCCTTCACCGAAAAGTCGAGGAAAAATTTGTGTATCGTTTGAACTCCGGGTTTTTTACATCGCGTTATTTTTCAACTTTATAAGTTGAATTTGCATTTTTGATGATTTGTTTCGGTAAGTCCATACCGAAAGGTATCAGAATCTGCAAAGTTGTGTTTTACGTTGCACGTGGCCTTTAAGCATATGTCCTCAAGATTTCATTGTATGTACAGGAATACTTTACTTAAAAGAGTTGTACTTCTTCCTTGAGCATAATGCCGTCACGCTAGAGAGCTGTGCCATTTCATTACAATTAGCCTTTATAGAAGACATTTACACTGAATACGAACCATCGGGTCCTTGCCATGCAAGATAGCAATGGGGCCATCTTTTAATGTAAACTCTGTCAAAAAAGAAACGCAACCCCTGTATTTTAGAGATTTTGATCTGAAGTTTTAGGACGACACGGCATTTTTATGATTTAAGACAGAAGTCTGAAATTTGGCAGAATAATAACCCAGATGGGCATGTTTAAAATTGTCATTTCAAAAGTCATCTCACAGACACCAGTTTGTCACCAGGGGGGGCGTCTTTCTCAGTATCTCGTATGAGCACCACGCGCTGCAATCACTGCACGGCATCTCCTTGGACAAGAACGGATAAGACGCCGGATTCTTTCCTGGGGAATGGCTCTCCACTCCTCCTGCAGTGCAACGGCGAGCTGTTGCAGCGTCTGTGGCGGCGGCTGACGTTGACGTACGCGTCGATCCAGAGTATC